GGCGGCGGCGCCGCCGACCTCGTTTAACGACCCCTCGCCCGGAGGGGCATTCGAAAAACGCGTGCTTTTCGCGCCTCGGGGACACGGCGGGTTTGTAAATCCCAACGCAAGATCCCAAAGTGCATCACGAGCACCTTCGGCGCGCACGGCTCCCAGGGGTGGCCTTTGGGGCCGCCGGGTGATGTTCGTCCACGTCGTGGAAAGCCGACTCTCACGCCACAGCGGCACGCATCATGAGCATCAACAGCTCGGGTCCCCGGGCCGGGCCGCACATCATTGAGCATGTGATTCTGCTTCATGATATGCTTCATGATACTGGAACGCACGGCGTATTTCTGGATGAAGGCACCCTCGCTCTCCCATGCGGCGACGGACGAGATCATGACCGAACATGTGCACTAGCTCCGCGCGCTGCCATGATTGAGACCGATGCCGAAATTAGGCCTGTGATGCCCTGTGCCCGTGCTTGTCGCAGGACTTGGGCCTTCAACTCATCAGTGGCGCAGCTTTACCCGAGCCTTGGCCACACTCGAGCGACAGCCTGCTATAACATCAACATCCAAAACAAAGTGCACGGCGCCAGTCCAATTCAGGCATGGACACGGCGCTTCCGCTCCATTCTATCGAATGAGTCGGGTCAGGAACCCAGAGTGTCGGTGAACATGATGCCATGCCCCGGCTGTCTTGTCAATGTTTTTTTGTCCTGTGCAGCCGAGGCCATCGCGGACAGCACTTTTGTATGTCCACACCGGCGCTACGCAACTCTGCTGTCAAAGCCGCGGCCTCAGGGCATTCAGAATGCCAGGGAGTCTGTAACAAAGACTGTACTTGTAGAGGCAGCCCACGCGTGCGCACGGGTTTGGGCAAGAACGCGCAAGTAGAAACAGGCCTTTTCTGGCAATTGTCATTTCTTTCGGCCCAACCCCCCCGCCCCTCCCCCCAAGCGGTCTGAATTCTTTGTAGGCAGCCTCAGATTTCCCCTGGCTGCACTGTACCAGCTGCTGGAACTAGTGTGATTTAGGGCATCCCAGTCTTTCACGGTTCTTTGCAGGCGCAGGCAAGTGAGGGAGGTTGGGACTCATGCATCACTGATGCGGGGCACGTCTTCTCATTTACTTGAGGACGGAGAAGGACAGCCAGGGTTTACTCCATGTTTACTCCCTACAGATTCGCGAAGCCAGGGAGGGTGGAATTTGTCACAGTAATTTTGGTGTCATTTCCAAACTTTTCTGTCCACAAGTCAACATCGATGAGCAGCGTCTATGCCTGCTGGTCCTGGCACTCAGGCAGAGGCCCAATTCTGTTTTCTATGCGGAGACCACGTTTGTGGGGGCTGACATGCGCGACAGCAACTGGCTTTCGGCAGCAGTTCACCGAGCCTTGGCCATTCCAGCGCAGCTCTTGGTGGCTCTGAGTTGCTGATGAATGCCTTTGCCCGCTAGTCATGACTTGTGATGGCTTAGCCCTGAATAGCCCTCTTCTTCTTGGTGTTGGAATCTAAATGCTTTTGGGCACTTGTCGGATACAGAAGCGAGAGACACCGAGAATCCAGAGCGGAAACCAGACGAGGAGATCTCGCCTACTTCGTAGGGGCTTGGCACATGAACCAGGTGCAAGTTGGCTAAATTGCATCATTACAGGGTCCCAGAGCCTGCTGCCAAGCAAGTTTGCCAGATGAAGTGGATCTTTGGCGTGAATGACACGCTCAAGGTATGCAACAGTGACTCGGCGAAACGGTCTCTTTAAAATGCCGGTCGACAGGGAGTCGACAAAATCAGTTTGTCGTGTAGCCGCGAAAGTGCGAAAGGCGGGGGCACCCCCCTGCCTGCACTCTGAGGTACCAAGCCTGCAAACATCGGCTTCGATTTCGCCTCGTGGCAATCAGAAGATGAGCTGATGCATCAACTGGTCAATTGCCACTATGCTCCTCAGCTTGGCTACTATGACTATGAACTCAAAGCATGATCAAGCCTAATGCTTTCTTATAAATGGGCGAGAAGAGCGACGGACTTAGCTGGATACAACACGAGGCGCTTTTTGCACACTGCGGCAGTCCAGACGCGTCCAGTACATCATCTTGTGCACAAGAAGTTCTCAAGCTTCACAGCTGCCAAAGTGCATACGGCTCCCTGGCAGCACTGCAGCACTGACTCAAGCATTGCAATGACAACCGATGTGCGCCATGGAATGTTGGCTGCATGCTGGGAGTGTCTGGAATTCCACGAGCTGTCATGATCTGTCATGTCATTGCCCGCGATGACCAGGTCCGCTGACTCCAAGGCCGTTTCTGCCTTTCGAAGCGGCCCAGGGGCGTCGCTTCGCGTTGACACCCACGGCGGAGCCCAAGTTCGTAAGCCCCAGTGCCGAGGCCAGGGCATGGAAAACCCAGCGGATGTCTCTCGCAACGTCGAACGTCGGCATATGGTGTCGCGGTTGAAAACGCTTGCGCGTCGACTGCCTCGGCTTGCCCTGATGGCAGAGGGGTCCCTGTCGTGTTCGAGCCTGGGCGGATCCCCCGATGAAGGTTTTGGCGGGCTCAGGGTTTCAAGGCTCGTTTCTGAAGTTTCTTACGGTCAGGCGGTGGGGGGATAAAGAGGTTGGGGATGGGGTCCATCAGGGGGGTGTGACGGGGCGTGTTTTTCGGGAAGCCCAAAGTAGTGGGAGCTCTCTCGCGCTCTCTCTCTCTCTCTTTCGCTCTCTTTCTCTCTCTTTTTCTTTCTCTTGGCCCCCAAGCTCCATGACACAGGGGGGGGGGGGCGGGGGGCGGGTCCCCCATCCCCCCCCCCCGTTAAGTCCCCCCTTGTTTGCCAGTACTTCGGCGATTTTTGCTATCGCTGTTGCAGCGCAAGTGTCTCCTGCATGAGCTTGCGTTGTTTGCTCTCCGAACTGCAGAACTGGTTCGCATGACAGCAAGCAAACGAAGGGTGTACTAGACGAGCTTGCTTTGTGAGAAGTCAGATGTTTTCTATGTATGAACTCTTTCGTACACATGAAGACTACACGCATGCATCGAACCAACTCTGTCAATATGAGCTTGCATTGCACGCAGCAAGACAGTGAAGAGTATCCTGTACGAGTTTGCCTTGTGTGATCTCCAACCTTTAGACGAGCCGGTTTGCGTGATAGCAAACAAGCGACGAGTGCCCTGGACGAGCTTGCGTTGTGAGATATCCTAGGATATGTGTCCTGTGTATGACCTGAGCTCCTGCGTAAGAGAGTTTGTGCGTTGTGCATGACAGGTTCGACACTTTTTGTACATGCTTACTGCCCGTTGACGGGAGAAGATACAGCGACACTGTCTGCCCTAGCTTTCGTCCACCCTGCTCTCAAGTTCACTTGTCCAAAAACACGAAAGGGGGGCCGTTTTGGGATGAGTTTGGGATTCGTTATAGGGGTTCGACTGTCGGGTAAAACAGGAGGTCTGTGAAATGCTGATGCGCCGAGGAATTTCTTTGGGTCAGTTTGGAGATCTCTCGTTGTGAGGAGGAGCGTGTTTGTGCCTGGTGGGACGCCGCCGCACCCACGCATTTCATCACGTCTGCCTGCCGCGGATGTGCAGCGGGGCGTGGCAAGGACGTTTCTGCAGTGGTTTGGGGCTTTCATTGCTGTCATTCGTTATGTTATGAACGGAAACGTAAATGTCGTTGGAACGGTTGTAAGCCAGCCCAGATAGCCAGGCTGGCTGGTAGGATGCTTCGCCCTGCAGGCCCTAAGGGAAGTTGCTTCCTTATCTTTAAAGGGTTCTGAAGTATGGGCCCTGGGGATTTTGCAGGGTATATAATGGTTATACAGGTTCCCCAATTCAGGGACCGTGTAACTACGCTAAGACAGGTAGACAGATTCCTCATTTCTGCCAACCTGCACCAAGAGTTGCGGACAGAAGAAATTTGAAGCAACGGAGGAGCGCAGAGACTTCCAAGCGACAACATGTATTTGGGTGAGCTTACAGACATTTAAAAGGAAAAAAGATGGTTTCTGCATGAACGCATCAAAGAGGGCCTCCGAGGCAACAGCATGATATGATCCGCCAAGCCAACGCGTCAGAATGCAACAGGGCGGTCAAGATATGACAGCCCACATTGGGGGTGCATGTTCGTGGCATGGATGGGCGATGAGCGCCTTGAAGACTCCCGGGCCTCACATTTGGTGCTGACGGGCATCCGTTCATGACTGTCACATGTTTTCGTGCTTCTTCGGTGTGCGGTTTAAGTTGTTCTGAACCGTGTGTTATGAGATTTCAACATTAGGCTTGGCTTGACATGGCGTAAGCACCTTGACAGGCTGCAGGTCAATCCCAACTTTCCTGCTCACGCAAGGAAGAAGTGCGCGAACTTCTTGTCTGAGCAATGTTTGTTGCGCAGAGTGTGCACTTGTAATTCAGTCCCGAGCAGTGTAGCTGGTGCTTGCTCGGGCTGGTTTCCCATCCGCCTCTACTGCATGATGACCTAAGCTTCTTCGTGACAAGAATGAGCCTGTCAGCCAATCACGGGTCGTCGTGCCGGATGTAGCCGGATGCTCCAGCAGCTAGAACAGTCTGAGTAAGGCAGAACGTGGGACTAGGTTCCCTGGTGGCCGCCTCAAGGCGCAACCACTCTGCCCGCTGCTGGAAATCCCATCTGCCAGCTCTTCCCCAAGTCACATTGTACCTGTCCTGGCGTACAGTTGGCAGCAGTGCACTGTTTGCTTAGGCAGGCGATTGACTTGGCCACGCGAGGTGTGTACAGGCCTCCGCTGGCATGAGGTTCTCATAACGGTCCAACTTCGGCTGGGCTACCAGGGCTCACAGTGAAGTGAACCGTCCTGAAACGGGTCCAGCGCGTCATGCTAGGGCACAGGACTACTGTCTTGCTTCGGCGCGCTTTGTGCCCGCTTTTCGCTTGCGAGCCGATTCAAAATGTGCATTTGGCCGGGAATCCCCTGGATCGCGCAGGCATCCGTAGGAGCCCATTGCCATAGGGACTGAATTCACTGTTCAGACGACGATGTCTTGTCCATCAAAGGAGGTGGCAAAGCTGTTGCAACCTAAACGGCCTCTCTCGTACGTCTGCACCCTGGGTGTCTTCTGACTGTGTGGGACTTTTTGTTGGGGCAAAGTTGGCAATGTCTCCGTGTGAGAGCCAAGGTTCGGGCCGCAGTTCCCTCTGAGGCCCAGTTCCGCACATGGGATGCCCCGGCCTGGGGCCCAGCACATGGCCCAGCACATTGATGACAGGCCACACACACACACATGGCATTTGTGGCCACTCAGAAGCCCGGCATCGCGCATGTGCTCCAGGTGCAACCTGCAGGGCCGCGCTTGCTTCGGATAGGCCCCAAGCCCCCAAAACGCAGATGGAGAATGGCAACATATGACGACAAGTGCCGACAAATACATGTGTTGCATCTTGATACTGTTGCATGACCTAGCGAAGAGAGGACTGATTGGCCCTCCGAATGCCCGACACTTGGATAGCTTGGGTCTAGATCAACGCCCTCACTAAATCCGACCAGAAGCCCAGTTAATCGACATTCTGAGGCGGGAAAGTCTTCGCTAATGAACATCATTCTGGACAGTCCGCGGCCAGGAATACCTATCTGCGACAAGAAGCAAGCCTAGTCAGCACACGGCATGCGGAGCGGCAGACCTGTGACAGTGGCATGTCATGTTTCGCCCGAGATCCGATCAGCGCCGTGTCGCCAAAGGTGGTCATTGCGGGAGTTGTATACGTGCAAGAGGGCAATTCAGACGGGCACGCTCACCAACTATCACAATGGCACAACTTGGATTGTGGAAACGACAAGCCAAAATCATCAAGCTGGATAGTTTTGTCCTGGGAATCTAAGACTGCGACATGTCATGGAGTGGAGACGCATTTCCTCTTTTTTGAGGGCTTTCCCCGACGGTTTTGCAGGTGAACACGACGCGCGAGGGAGTGCGTGGTGTGAAGACGATCGGCCATACCCAGCTTGTCTTCCTGGACGTGCCCGGGACGGGCCGACATGTTTGCAACACGCACGCACGCACGCACGCACGCACACACACACACACACACAGACACACAGACACACAGACACACACACACACACACACACACACACACACACACACACACACACACACAGACGCAGAGACGCACAGACACACAGACCCACAGACACACAGACACACAGACACACAGACACACAGACACACAGACACACAGACACACAGACACACAGACACACAGACACACAGACACACAGACACGCAGACACGCAGACACGCAGCCACGCAGCCACGCAGACACGCAGACACGCAGACACGCAGACACGCAGCCATGCAGACACGCAGACACGCAGACACGCAGACACGCAGACACGCAGACACGCAGACACGCAGACACGCAGACACACAGACACGCAGACACGCAGACACGCAGACACGCAGACACGCAGACACGCAGACACGCAGACACACAGACACGCAGACACAGAGACACACTCACACAGAGACACACACACGCAGACACACACAGACTCACAGACACACAGACACAGACAGACACACACACACACACAGAGACACAAACACACAGAGACACAAACACAGACACAGACACAGACACACAGACACAGACACAGACACAGACACAGACACACAGACACACAGACACACAGACACACAGACACACAGACACACAGACACACAGACACACAGACACACAGACACACAGACACACAGACACACAGACACACAGACACACAGACACACAGACACACAGACACACAGACACACAGACACACAGACACACAGACACACAGACACACAGACACACAGACACACAGACACACAGACACAACAGACACAACAGACACAACAGACACAACAGACACACAGACACACAGACACACAGAAACTCAGACACACAGACACACA